GGGCTCTTGAGCTTGGAGCAGAGGAGACTGAGGGGTGCCCTCATTCATGTTTATAAATTTGTAAAGGGCAGTGTCAGGAGGAAGGAGCCAGGCTCTGCTCTGGGATGTCCAATGACAGGACAAGGGGCAATGGGTGCAAGCTGGAGCACAGGAGGTTCCATGCGAACATGAGGAAAAACTTTTTTACTGTGAGGTGACAGAGCACTGGACCAGGCTGCCCAGGAAGGTTCTGGAGTCTCCTTCTCTGCAGACATTCAAAACCCACCTGGCCGTGTTCCTGTGTGACCTAGTTTAGGTGATCCTGCTCTGGCAGTGGGGTTGGACTGGATGAGCTTTCGAGGTCCCTTCCAACTACTCATGTTCTGTGATTCTGTGAGAGTCTCAGCCTGAGAGCACAGCACAGCACACCCCTCTGTGGCACTCTCTCTGGGCAGTCGTTGTTTCCTTGTCTGTGGTGGGCTGAGGGAAAAGGGAGGTCCAGCACTCAGCGGGGGACTCTCCTCAGCCTTCCTCCTAGCCTAGGTGCTCTGCTGAGATGTCCCTAGGCAAATAGCGGGTAAGCTTGTACAACTTCCTCCTAGCCTAGGTGCTCTGCTGAGATGCCCCTAGGCAAACAGCAGGTAAGCTTGTACAGGGCATCTTTTAGGAAAAAAACATACCGAGTTTCCTTTTCCAATTTCTTTCTGCTGCAATAGCAGCCAGAATATATCTCCAGAGAGGAACAAATCATGAGAACAGTAGCTAGCACAAGAGTCACAGTATTAAATGATCCAGTATTTAGAGCTGCTACGCAGCGATTAAAACAATACATTTGCTATTTAGTTTGTGCTGCTTCATTCAGAATGGTTAACTAGAAACACAGGAGAATCTTCAGATTCAGTAATGTCTATCTAGAAACATAAGATTTTGAGGGTTTCTTACTAATACTGCAACAGACGCTTCTTTTTTTACTGCAAGATTACAAACTTGTACTTGAACAACCAGTAATTTTAATTTAGTTTCTGAGACTGACAGTCACATAGCTCATGCCTGTACCTATTATCACTGCAATCTCAGTATATTTCCACTGAACTTGTGTTCCAAAAACAGAGACGTTCCCTGATTCTGAAGTACTTGGGCAAAGGAGACAGATAAAGACATTAATATAATTTTGACCTGTGCAGTAGCAGGTGTAACCTGCACTTGACACTCATCATTTATAATAGTGAGCTTTTACTCCATGTTATTCTCTAGATGCAACAGTTACCGTGGTAACTGCATCCCAGTATACACACTCCACATCACAAGTACAAATGGACATTTCCTTTTTTAACACTTGAACCTTTAATTGTCAGAATCCACATTTTTTCAGATTGGATTACAATTCGCTTTGAGAATGAGCCTAAGATAGTTACAAAACTAGGTGGAAGGGTAGAAGGAAAATGCAGGAGGCATGAGGTGCCATTTTTCTTGTTCTACCGTATGCAAGACAAATATTTTACAATTAGGGAGTTTTATCCGCTGTATGAACAGATGATCAGTCATTGTTCAGAAGCACAAAGGGGCATACGTCATACCCATATATTTTCCATTTTAAACCCACATTCCTGTTTTACTGCAATTTTATCTTTTATCTCAGCTAGCAGTTGTGCCTTTTTACTATCGCTCGCTCTTGTAATGCATCAAATGTATGATCCTCAGACTAATTCCAAGGGAAAAAAAAGTCTAAAACTGACTTTATGCACAATGGAGTTTTCAGTAAATAAGCCCCTGTGGGATAAACTATTACACAGTGCATGAGAATTACCATGCAGCTCTCATTAAGAGTAACACATGTTGCACGCCTAAATTACACCATTTGCTCAGTTACTCATACAGGTAAAGCTGCGAACACACTTTGTTTGCAGTACCTAGACCAATTTTTGAATGAGCAGCAGTACCTTATGATTTTCTTCAGTATATTAATCTATATTTTATCATGATTGTCACTTGGAAACACTCATGCCATTGTATTTCTTTCAACTATACATACCTTCGTAGTAAAATTTAACTGAATGAAAGCTGAAAATAAAAGGGTATTAATTAAAAAAAGTGACTGCCTATTATTACTAATTATGAGCACTACAATACATACAAATTCTTTGTTAAGCAGCACTAAATCTAAATGTTATTAACCATTAATTTTAACATTTTAGGATACTATAGAAATATTAAGGCTAATAAAATTTACTAAAATGCGGGTTTTGTTATTTCTGTTAAATGGAACTGTGTAACAGTTTTATTTTGCCAGAACTCTTGGCACTTGTATCACTTTAAATGAACTTGAAACATTAAGAGCAAAACCATTTTGAGCTATTCATCCTCTGCAGTTTTCATATCAATCATTGTGCGAGCACTGAGCTTTTTAATAGATTTCTAAAGATTTTTGAAGAAAAATGGCAGATATTTAGCATTATCTATCAAGTTATAATTCTTCTCTATTAATCATAGCATTAGGGCTAAAAGGAGACACAAATCTAGTTTTAACAGATATTACTTGCATTTGGTTCCTAAACAGCAATATTTCACTATTGTATTTATCATTTACTTGACAACTGTTTAATCTTTTTTCGTTTTTTAAGGAAAAAAACCTTCTGATTTGCAACACATATCAAATTTTTACATATAAGGAATAAAGGCCATTAGAAGAAAAACAAATAAAATTGCCTCTTGACTGATAAAATACAACTTTTGAATATAGATGTAGAACAAATACAGTCCAGTATCTGTAGCCTCACCCTGTAAATGGGCACTTTGGTCCAAGCTGTACTGATTCTTACGCTTGTATGTTCAAATCTCAGGAAAATCAAAGTGGATAGCTACTTAAATGACAGAAGGGAGAGAAGGTTCAGCAACAGCAAGCAGAAAAGTTCAGCGGGTGCTCCAGAAGCTTTACACGTCTCCTGCAGAGAAGAAAGGAGGTGTACAAACAGATAAAGAGGAGAAGAACTGCAGCAGGTAGCAAAGTGTGAAGTCTGTGAATGACAGGAGAGGCAAAAAATTGGCCTCACAGACATATCATCTGTTCCTTCCAGATTGATCCGCATTTCTATTTTGGTTTGTCCTACAAAGCTTTTTTTTCCTCAGGCTTTGTAAAGGTGACTGGAATTTCATTGTGTTTGTAAATATGATCAGCCAAATGGCTCAAGATACAGAAGAGGGACATGCTCATTAGTTAAGAACTACAGAGGAGTGTGCAATCTTAACACATGCGTATGCTTGTTTTTATACAGCCGCTACCTCCTCACTTGCATAGAGATCAAAATCACAGTTTTTACCCAAAGATACCTCAGACAGACCAGATGAGGTGCCAGCTGAGACCATAAGTTTAGTACAAATCCTCCACGCTCTGAAAGGAAGTTAACAAATGAGCAGTAGCTTCTGTCTCTCTTCAGATAGAGTTGGAGCATTTAAAATATACACTAATATACACTAATGCACACGCACCGTGACAGAAACCCTTGAGTAGACTTCCTAACATCAAGCAGCAAGCAACAATCTTTGCTTCAGTAGCCCAAATATACACATACTTTTATGAACTAATAACTTTACACATACACACGTGTGCATCTATATCTATCTATCTGGATGCACATAGACATATGCTCAATATGAAACTACTTATTTACTAGGTTTTTGGCAAAACAGGATGGTAAAAACCCTAAATCATCTGAATCTTTTCCTTTGCCCCAAAGACAGTACAAATGCATGCTAATTCTGCTGTAGGATCTACCCTCTGCCCAGAACAGTTCCACATCTGCTTAATGTGTAGTTACAAATGTAAGTGCACTTCATCTTTTCCCTATGCAGCCTCCTTCAGTAACAACCACAATTTCACCTGGCTTAGAGAAATCTTTCATTATAAAACAAATTGTCTCAACTAATAGTGTTTCTAAAGACTCGTCTTGTTCACAAATATTGTTCCTTATATAAAGCAAGGCATTATGAAAGCATTTCTAAGCCTCTGAATGTGCTGTAAGAAAAAAAGATAATTATTCTAACTTCCTATGCCTCTTTCTATTTGTATCAACTTTTTTTAAAGAAATCATTGACAAAGACAGCCACTTAGACAATACTCATTGGTACATAAAAAGAATGCAAAACGTTTCCAAGTCCTACCTACCTCAGTAGCAAACTGCTGCAATCCCCCAATATTAATTGGTCCCTCCTCAGTGGCATACAAATTGCAGCCACCAACACAGAGATCTGATGTTGGACACACCATTCCACAGGTCAGGCCAAGTGGATTGTCAGAAAGAATCATTCTGGCAGCTCCATAGTAGTTCTGAAGGAAAAATCAAATCAAATCAAATCAAATCAAATCAAAATAAAATAAAATAAAATAAAATAGGAAGAAAAAATAAGAGAGCATGTCACACATCAAGGAAATAAAAGTTCAAGAGAAAATACAAAATACTTTAACTGGTTAGTAGAATAACATATAAATAGGAATACATAAAACAACATTGACATTATTTAAATGTACCAACATGTTATACAGCATTATATCAAAAACACTGGAAAGAAAATCAGCAAAATTGTTGATTATGCAATAACAAAACTTTTCCTTTTAGCTTGCAAAACAGTTAGAAGCATCTTCAGTCTGAGACGGTTGTACCATTTTTAGTGGCTTAACAAATCCACATTCAAAACCTACTGTGCCTGCGTTATGTACTTGTAAATGTTTTCTCCATTTCTAGGTCAATTGGACAGTAGCTGAGTTGTAACACTTGTTGGGGATCCGACCAGAAAGTGCCAATAAGATTATCACATCATTATGATGCACGGAGTGAAAAGTTCATTTTATACATCTATGCTCACCATCTCCGTGTACATGCCTGTCCTTCACACCAGATCAGTAGTGTCAATTGTTCCAGACTCATGAACAGGAGAAGGCTTCCTATGTAGCTACGTGTAGACATCGCACTACTGAATTCATCTTTAAACAATTTTTCCTCAACCACATACTGATCAGGGCAAACATTTAATAGTAAACCAGGGAACTAATTAAAGAAGTTACACACAATTCACAGCTTCACAGATTTCTAATATTCAGAGTACATCTTCAGAGAAGGAACAGTTTCTTGATATATGAGAGCTAGCAAGATTTCTTTCCATAGTAACAATTTAAGGAATGGATGTTAGCAAGCTTCCAGTGCCTGATACTGTGAGAAAAGAACGCCCAAAGGTTTTTCTTAGACTGGATAATTCTCTTAAGAGGGAGCATCAGAGGAAATGCCAGGAGTGCAGAGAAGTCTCATTTAGAGGGTAAGAACTACTGATGGCAGTTCTGCATTTATGTTACATTTACATTAATCAAATTATGGTGCAATTAAAGCAAACTGTTAACTGCCTATCTTCTATTTTGTATACTTAATATAGAAGTTCACTTAAGTGTAGACTCTAGTTCCTTCTTCATTTTACCACTCCTCCTATCCACTCTAAAAGCCCCACCAAGGGAAGTCCATGAAGATGTATTAATGCTAGAGTTTCCTTTAAGGGCCAGAAGACAACACAGGACTCCTTAGAAATATGTCTCCTTCCTCTTCCACTCTCTCTTCCATATTCCAGTCTTCAATCACTCACAGGAAACTGTTTTTTTTATAACAAGTATCCTTAACTCTCTCTCCCTGGGCAGCTGACTTAGAACAACCAGAAGACGTAGCATTCAGATGACATGAAGTACTCGGTCGCAGCAGACCCCATGCAATGCCTGTGACTTACTACCTGCCAAGTAGGCTAATGTACACAGAAGTGTTTATTCAAAGTGAACGCTATACCACACAGAGCAACAATCCAGTTATGGTTAAAAAGAGCAGTGTCAAGATCTGATAATTTAACAAAAAAGGAGTAAAAAGACTTTTGTTTGAGAGGTTCAAATCCACTAAAAGCATATTAAAAGACTGAGTATAAAATTCGTCAAGTAAAACCAGATGCTGCAGACGCAGCTAGAGATTCCCGAGAGAACAGAACGTTTAAGAAATGTATTTGCAGATGTAACTAGACCTTTTGCTTACAGATGCTGGTGAACTGCACAGCCTGAGCCTCTGTCCTTCACCTGGAAACACAAACCAGCTACTTGGGTGTACTTTCACAAGGTTTTCTTAGATGCTATTAAAATCCATTGAAATTCTAATCCTGGCTGGACAGGCAATCCCTTTACGCAACTGTACTGGAAGAAGTTCTGTCAAGCATTTTGCCTGCAGTGACTGCTAAGGCACTTTATTATCCCCAATTCTCATTTATTCCAATGTAAAGGAGTATTAGTTAAATGTATTAGCTAAACGTTAAATACATTAAACGTATTAGCAAATATTTTTGCTCTTCCAGATGAATGATACTGTTCTGGTATGCCAGAAACTGTTAGAGATGCTAAAAACAACCAGTAAAGATCTTCTAAGCTCAACTCAGCAGCAAAACACAGAAGTCTAGTTATAGTCTAGTCCCTGACACATAACCATGCAGACAGCAGAAGTGACACAGTCAATGCAGCAGACCCATGCCGTTCTAAAGCAGCACTCAGAGACCAGTCTAGATACCCTACATCATTTTAAGTGGCACTAGATGTCTGTTCCCCAGGCAATTACATTTAAACATTCCCTTTTTCCACTCTAAAGGAATAATTACAAACTAGTAGTGGGGATTTTTCTCACTAACTCGAAGACAAAATGGTTTTCAAAGAATTTTTGTTCAGTTTGGTATTTCACTACAAATGACAGTTATATTTTCCCCTCCTGTGTTGTCCAGGATTATCATTATCTTCAACTTTGCTTCAATGGAAACAATTACAACAATGTGCATTTCCATTTAAGTAACTTCATTAAGGATTTTCTACATTTTTAGGCATTGTAATTAAAATCAATATACAAAGCCAGTTATTATGCTAGAATGCAAAGTGGTTAATCTATTCCTTTTAAAAATTAATTCTATTACATATCTGTGAAGTATATTCTCACACTTGAGCTGTGCCACCACAGGCAGCATCAACACAGCCAGCACATTTCACTTCTTCTGCAAGCTCCAACCAAACTTTGAGCACAGTTATGCCACAGAAAGACAGGGTCTGTTAAAGTAGCAAGAGACTTCAGAGAAATGGGACCAAGGTCACTGTGGGTATAGGGCCGAGATCATGGCTTACCAAGGGGATATCTAGGGAAACCTGTCTCAGAACATCACGCCAGAGTTCGGTAAGGAGAAGGCTGGGATTGAAATCCTAGTGGGAGCATGGACAACTGCTGCTGAACTCCTAACCTTGGGGAAATGTGATGGAGGATATGAAGGTGGGGTCCCGATTTGGGAAGTTTTGAGGTGTTGCTGTCATGATCATGAGTTGCTGCTGCTCACGCTATTAGTGGTAGCACCTGAGAAAAGAATGGAACCCTATCCTCTTCAACTTAAGAGTACCAAAAGATACATAGTACATGTTGCCACCCTAAATTTTAAGACACTAGATAAACTCTACCAAAGAGTACCTATCTTCTAGTCTTAACACCTGAAATATGTTTTAATGATAAACTAAAAGACTGTCACTCCTGAAGTCCAAAGCATTGCATTATCTTTGGGAGCAGCAGGGCAAGTCTTCCATGCTGCTTCACTGGAGTGCTCCAACTATGCTAAAGTGGAGACCGCTAAAGATGAAAGGGAAGTACAGGTTCAGTGCTGACTTGGTTTCCCTCTCTGCCAACCAAAAGTCACCCTGTGTTCATTTTATCACTGGTAAACTTTGATCATACTCGCAGAAGAGTTGCAGATCCCTAACCCTCCTCTTCCAAAACCCCAGTGTAACCACTGTTCCCATTGCCACTGATACTGTCTGCTACCAGTGAATGGATGACAGCCACATGCTGCTACAACAACTGTGCAGTAGCTCAAGAGCAAACTCATCTGCAAGCTTCCTGATACCCAGGGCACAGTGCAGCATGGAGTTCAGGAGCCCAGCTCCAAGTTGCTTCATCTCTTTGCCCTTCCTTTCTGTTTAATCATTTATCCTGCCTTTACTGTGTTGATTTATTATCTGACCTATCAAACACGATTAGAAAAATGTTTTCCAATACTTGATAAAAACTGGCAGGGAAATAGAGCATAGTCTAGTAACTTACACTAAGTGGTGTTATCCAAGCTGTGTTACAAAACTGCAAGCTATCATGTTACTTCAGTAATAAATGAGAGTGTGTAGTATAAGTACCGTAGTATATGTACAGTATCTACTGTGCTTAGTTATGTGAATACTTTGTGCTTACATAACTTTTTATTTTAAGCTGAAAATGTATTAATTATCGTTACATTTACCAGTGACATTAAAGGTAGAATATTCATAGAATATTCACATTTTATAAAAAAATATGGATTGCTTTTATTTCCCAAAACCAGGCTGTAGTAGGCTGCACTCAAAATAGACATGAGATGCAGACCTGGCACGCTGGTAACTACACGCCACATGTAGTACACGAGAAAGGATCAAAATTAACAGAGGCTGGCTTCATTAAAATGGCAAAGTTACTCCAGGGCATGGAATTATGCAAGGTACCTTAACAGTTTGGAGTAATTTTTTAGATGCTGAAATAATAAGACGACTGTGTTGGCTGGTTTGTTACAGACGTCACAGAGGAAGCAAGTCTAAAATGAGAATGTTTCTGAATTTTTTGATGAGATAGATGTCTGCTCATGCCTTTGTTAGAATCTTTTTTTCCTGTGCACTTCCATAGAAATAAATTAATCTAACTGGATAGGAAGTTTTGTGGTTTCCTACATCAAAATGTCAATAAATACTACATTGCTAACACAAGGAACAAAAACAAGCCTTAAACAGACATCAATAATCAGCGGAAACCAGGCAGAGGAGGATCTCCACATGTATCATTTGGAGGCATTATACAATTTGCATGCAAATTAGATTGTTTTTTACTTGGAAAAAACCCATTAAAACACATAGGATCAATACTGAGAGACCAGAAGAAATTGCATTTACTATCAAGAAATGCTTATAGCATCTTTTCTTTCAATTCAATTCAAGAGCTTTTTATATAAAATTCATTATGCATCAGGGTGTTTTGATACTACTGTTTTCTCAAAAACAACGAAGAATATGCATTATTATGCGTTGTGTAATAAAAATGAACACACTGTCTTCATCAGGATTTTGGGACAGAGAGACTACTTAGGAAGAAACAAAAAAATGGTAATTTCATTTTAATCTAAAGTTTAATTTTAAAAAAGAGAGACATAGCAAAAACATGGGAAAATATCACCTCCTTCTATTTTAGCTCATGTTCTGCGATCGCTTTA